AGTATTACCCTGTAAAAACAACAAGGAGTCTGGTGGCACCTTAAACACTAACAGATTTATTTGGGCATACGCTTTCATGGGTAAAAACCTCACTTCTTCAGATGCATCTTTAAGGTGCCACCAGACTCCTTGTTGTTTTTGTAGATACAGACTAACAGCATTATCCTGTGTTGATTCAGATTGGTGCTGTCTTTATAGCCCTCATGACTTGTGTTCCAGATATGCTTCAAATATTTTTAATAGACTGTGTTGGGGGTCTTACTTTTTTTAATTGTCTATGTAAATCAAGGATTAACTTGCAAAGTAAACGGTCCCTCGTGGTAGCAGCTAAGCTTGCAATTGTGAGGCTATAACTAAGCATTAGAGAGGCCATCCCTTTCCCAAAATAGAAGGAAATTGTGTGTTGCTCAATGAGTAATCAAACTAGAGTTTATTTTGCTACAAAGCTTGTTCTGCAAAGTCTATCGCTTGCTTTTCTGGCGTAAATAACGGTCTCTGAATTACCTTACTGTAGCTGAAAAGCTCAGACCCATCTCTCTCAATCTTAGACATCAGGTCAGAGCGCTGACAGACACATTTGAAATGGATTTGGCATAGGGCATGCTCAGTGGTGGATTTCTTCTTCTTCCCACCAGTCTCCCCAGGTATTACTTGTGTATCTAAATGCATCCGCCCCTTCCCCTCTCAGCTCAGTCTCTTGCCCCTACACCTGATACAACTCTGTACTTTGCTCCACTCCCACTCAGTCCCACCAGCCACCTCCTCTGTGGGACTCCGAGGCGATATGATAATACAAATAATGATGACTGGCAGCTCAGAGCAGCTGTATCTCGTGTCGTTTAGCCTACCTCTAGCCTCCTCTGTGGTGCTTGGGGAGGAGCGGGAAACTGACACTAATGGTTCTTTTTTTTTTCTTTTTTTCCCCCTGGGTAATGAGAATATATTCAGCTTGTCTTGATCACTTTGCAAAGCTGAAATGGATAATTCTGCTTTGTCCTGCTTTTCTCCCTTCCTTGGTCTTGGGCAAAACTTTAATGCCATACACTGAATATTAAAACACTCATTTCAGAGTAGGTTTTTTCTCCTTGAAACACAATCTGCCCAAGGCATGTTATGGCACTAACAGCATTTTCTTTTATGCTCAAATGTTTCCTACTCAGAACTCTTTGCCCACCCAGTTGCATGGTGTGGCTGTCAAATGCCACTGCGATCAGCATGGGTAAGGACCTGGATATCAAATTAATAGTACTTTGTAAACCTATGGAGGTTTTAAATTTACAAATGACCTTTTAAAGCATTTGCTGAACCAAAACAACTTGATTAATGCTCCGCCCTTCACTCTCTGAATAAGTAGAAAAGATAAAACTAGTCCAGGGTAGGGATGGTGGTCTCAAAGCCACATCTGGTGATGGGCTCCAAAGCTATTGGGCCAGTTAATGAAGTAGGGCTCGTCTGCACTAGAGGGATGTAAATTTTAGTGCACGCTAACTGGCCCTTGTGCATGCTGTCATGTTTCAGACCCACACTAGGGAACTTTGTGGACCCCAATAGGGTCCCCACAGGCATGTTAGTGCACAACACGCTAGATCATACCTGTGAATAAAAGTCAGTTTTTTGTTGTTTTAGGTGTACTTTACCACATCCTATAGGATGTGAGGGCATGGGATGATGTTATACTCTCATTGTTCCTGAGTAGTTTCATATGAAGGATAGAGGGGGAAAAATTCAACCAACTACTGTTTAAAATAGCATTACCACATTACCTATGATTCTAGAACACCTATCACAGGTGGCACCTGTGCTCTCACCCGGGTCGCATTAGATTTTGTGATGAACACTTTTAAGCACACAAGTGTCACACTTCTCTGTTTCTTTTACTTTTTCTGCATTGCTGCTTTACTTTAGACAATCTGTCTTCTGCACTGAATTTTAGAATTCTTCAAGCTTTGGCTTTTCTGTTCACTGTAACAAACACTTGATGCTTTGTGCTTCTGATTAAATAGCACTGGCTCCCCTGCTTCAACAAAACCAAGTCTGCAAATCTTAGTTCTATTTGT